AAAAATTTGAAAACTCAAAGTTTGGAATTTGAGGTGTGATTGAAAAATATGGTGAATATTAATTTTTTAAAAAAATTATTACAGTAAAAGACAGACTGCCATTAATCCCCCTCAAAATACTCCCCTTGACTTTGAACACTTTTCTCCCCATCATTCTTGCCACTTTCTGAAACTGTTCTGGAAGTCTTCTTTCATGAGTGTCTTTAGCTGCACTTTCGTGTCTTTCTTACTGCCTTAAATCAATTGAAAACATTTGTATTTGCATGGACACCATGAGATATCTTTGGGATAGGACCCAAGTCAAAACATGAAATTCATTTCTGTTTCATCTATACCGTATAAACATAGGCTAAAGGCAGTTTTTAGCATATTTTAGTAACTGTGTTTTCACAGTGTGACCTGTCACATGAAGTCCTACGTGAACTTTTCTACTTGAGCGGTTACATCAGTGCTCAGCACTTCTGGATTTTGGTGCATTCTGGATCTTAGACTTCTGAAATAGAAATGTCCAACCTGTTTAAGAAAAGAATTTTTGATGCCTCCCCAAATAAATATTGGGCCAGGTACCTAGTGGTGCATGCCTGCAATTCCAGCTACTTGGGAAGCTGAGGCAGGAGGATTCCAAGTTCAAGGTCATCTGGGCAACTTGGTGAGACCCTAGTTCAAAATATAATTAAAGAGAGGACAGGGAGTGTAGCTTAGTGGAGAGCACTTGCCTAGCACGTACCAGTCCCTGGGCTCAATCCCAGGACTGAAAACAAATAAACAAAAGTCTCCTGGCGGACAAGCAGCATCGTCACGTTGAGGACACACGCTGTGGTTGGAAAGAATGACCGTTCCCTGCAGCCTCACATCACGCATGCTTTCACCCATTCACTTTGCCTTTTATTGCAGCTGGGGTCTGTACATCTCCAGCTGATTTTTAAGGACTCTCTGAGGCCAGGGCATTCCTGGTGCACACAGGATTCAAGAGCTGCTCAGTATATCAGCTCAGTATTTATAAACCTTTTTTCATTATTGCACCCCTTATGAGCCTTTGTAGACATTTTTTCCTTATCACTATCTCCCAGAGGTGAAAAAAACTTTTTTTAACCATACTGGAAACTGAACACAAGGCTTTGCACTGAGCTACATGCTCAGCTTTTTTTTTTTAAGACAGGAACTTACTAAGTCACTAAGTTGCCCAGGTTAGGCTCAAACTTGCAATCTTCCTGCTTCAGCCTCCCAGAGTGTGAAGATTACACACATGAACCACCGCACTTGGCACCAATGAAATTTTACTACCACTAATACACTGTGTGTCTTTTTATGCTCAATATGTGTATCTATGCTTTATAAATAAAACATTAGGCTGGGTATGGTGCCACATGCCTGTATTCCTAGCACTCAGGTCGCTGAGGTAAGAGGATCGCTGAGAGTTCAAGGCCAGCTTGGGCTACATAGTGAGTTCAAGGCCAGCCTGCACTACATAGTGACACCCTGTCCTCATAAAAACCAAATAATAATAATTTCTTTCTACTCTGTTACTGGTATAATCATTCCTCACCTAGATAGTACAATACAGGTTGAGTGTTTCTTATTTGAAATGAATGGGACCAGAAGTGGTTTGGATTTTAGACTTTTTCTGAATATTTACACATACATAAGGAGATATTTTGGGAGCTGGGCCCAGGTTTAAACCCAAATGCACTTGCTTCATACATATACCTGTAATTTTGTCCAATATCTTCAGTGCACTTTTGTTTAGGGTTGATTCAAACATGCAAAGTCAGGTGTGGAATTTTCCACAAGAAGCATCAGACTCACACTCAAAAAACCTGAAATTCTGTAGCATTTCCAACTTTTGGCTTTAGGATTTGCAATCCCTGTACTAGCAAAGCAGCACGGCACCGCCACCCCACTCCACAACATACTTTGTGCGGGTCCTTTGGGTCCACCCAGGCCACCTGGAACATGGGTTTGATTTCATCTGCCAGGCCAATTCGGGCCCCGCTGTTGGCTGCCAGGTAGATTTTGGGGATGCCCCGTGCCCGAGCCAGCTCTGATGCCCGCAGGTACACCATGTCCTCCCGCACGCCAAAGGATCCGATGCGGAAGGTGATGTCATTGCTGATGACGATCACCTCCCGCCCTTCTGGATACTCTGGGGTCTTGAACATCATTTTGAAGGCCACCATGCCCACCTGTCAGGGAGAAGAGGGCCCAGGGGAAACAGTTTGGTTCTTCACTGGAAACATCTGACAAAGGCAGACACCACTGTGGGGCGCTCAGCTGAGCTCCTACCTCATTGCTGCCAGGAAGTCGGTTCATCTCCACCAACTGGTCCTGAGAGTCCAGCACTAATTCAGTGTACGTTAGGATGTCTTTGGGGTACCTGTCCGGGCAGCCCCACAGTTTAAAGAGAGCCTGGGAGGAGGAAGGGAAGAGTGAAAAACTGAAGTCAGCAGAGGGAAATATTGTCATTTCCACCTGGAGATGACTTATCACAATCTCAGGGTGAATTTTCCAGTTTTTCTTTTTAAATAATGAAACATTTAAAGCACACCAAAAACTCAAACAAAACAAACGCACACACACGAAAACATATAGAATAATAAATAAACACCTGGGCACCCATCTGCTGCTTTGTCAAATTTTAGTATTTTCATAGTTTAAGATTGTTTTTTTTTTTTTGAGGTGAGATCTCACTGTGTTGCCTATGCTGGCCTCAAACTCTTGGGCTCAAGATCTATCAGCCTCCCAAGTGGCTGGGACTATAGGTGCCCATCACCATGCCTGGCCCTACTCAACATTTTTTAACGATGTGGTTGAGTCCCTGTTATATCTGTCTCTTCCCCCCTTAAAAGCCCAAGAATACATTGTCCTGAATTTAATGTCTACCATTTCTGCATGCTTTTGATTTTACTTCATCATATATGCATACATTGAAGGTACATAGGACTATTGTGCATGACAGACTTTACATATTATCATATTAAACATATTCTTCTGCAACTTTTTCTATTTCCATTTTTGTTGCAGAGACTTACAGTACTGATAATATTTAGCTCAAGTTTCTTTCACTATCCTTGCTGTTCAGTTTTCCACAGTGGGAATACATTACAATTTATTTATTCATAACCCTATTTGGGTTGTATCTACAGTATTATGAATAATGCTGTAATTAATTTTCTTATGGTCTCTTCTTATAAACAGAATTTCTCATTATAAGTATATATAAAATGTATTTATACAATGTATATGTATATATACATGTATATACATACACACAAACACACATGCATGCACAATGTATATGTATATATACATGTATATACATACGCACACAAACACATACACTCCTAAGACTGGAGTTGCTGGAACACAGAGAATGTGAAGTTTCAATCTGATACTATGAAATTGCTCCCCAATTTTTTGAACCCCTTTGAACAAGGTCAGTAAATGTACAAGAGCTCCTTTGTATTTTTAAATGTTTATTCACCTGTTGAATATTAATTTATACATGGTATTGATCCCTATCTTGCTTATATTAATGAAATTAGTGCCTTTTAATATGCTTAACTGCATGTTTCTTTTTTGTGAGTTTAACTCTTGCTCTTATTTTTATAGTTTTGCTTCTTTAATTGATTTATGAGCATTCTACAGATCATCTGCTTCTAATTCTTTGATGGTGATAAACCTTAAACTATATTTTTCCAACCAGGGGTTTGTCTTTTCTGTGCTGTACACTTTTAAACTTTAATGTGTTCAAATTTAAGAATCTTTTCCTGTATAGTCAATGCTTTTAACTGACACTGAGTAGCTTTAATCCTCTTGAAACTTATTTTTATTTACTAGATGAGGTAGAAATCTAAACTTGCTTTTTCCCATTTGAGAGCAACATCTCTGTATCTTTTAATGAAGTTCATGCCCCAACTCACAATCACATCTCTGCTTCTTTGATAAGTGGGTCAGATTCTAGGCCCTCTGTTCTGTCCTACTGATCTATTTGCCTAAATCCATTACAATAATACTACAGTGTCTTAATTACTATTGCTTCAAAATAAGTTGTGACATCTACTACAATAAGTCCTCTGATTTTGTTCTTTTTTAAATTGTTTTTTTTTTTTCTATTCATAGGTTTTTGCTTTTCTGTAAAAATTTAAAGATCAGCTTTTCAAGCTTCACCAAAAAAAAAAACCTCTGGAATCATACAAAACTTAATTTGGACAGAAATAAGATCTTCATAATTTGAAACATCCCATCATCCATGAACATGGTACACCTCTCTGCTTATTTACACTTAATGTATTTCAATAAAGCCTTATAATTTCCTCCATAAAGGAAATTCCTCTTCTGTGCTTTGACTTATTCCTGGGTCAGTTTGATGTTGTAAATGATATTTTTCCCAACTATGTTGTATAATTACTGATGGTATATGGGAATGCACTTGATTTTTTGTGTATTAATTTGATGTCTAGCAACCTTGTTGTATATCTAGTTGGCTGTATGGATTCTCTTGGATTTCTTATATATCTTCTGTAAAATACACCAATTTACTTTTTTTCTTTCCAGTCTTTATAATTTTTCTTTCCTATCTTGTTATTCCATCCGCCAGGAACTTGAGTAAAGAATGTGAAACACAAGTGGTGATAATAGATATTCCTATCTTAAATTTTTCTTTAAAGAATATTTCTAATATTTCATCATTAAATGTTGGTAATTTTAGATTGATATGTTTTATTAAGACACATAAATTTCTTACTATTCCTAGTTTATTAAAAGTTTTTATTATGAATAGTTGTTGTTTTGTCAAACATATTTTTTACCTATTGAGAAATTTTTTTCCTAATCTACTAATAAGGTAAATTACATGAATAAACTTCCTAATATCAAATCATGTAAGAAATCATAGGATAGGCCCTACTGGCCTAAACTTTTAAAAACTCATTAATAAATGTTATTTGCTCATATTTTATTATTTTCATGCCTGTGTTCATCAATGAAACAGCAACTTTGTCTTTTCTTAAAGTCTTTATCTGGGAATAATCTTAAGGTAATAACTTGATAAAATTAGTTAAGAAGCATTCTTTTTTTCTACTCTAAAGATAATTTATATACAAAGAAAATTAAGCAATCTTTTCTTCCTCCCTCCCTTTTCCCAGTACTAGGGATTGAACCCAGGGAGTACTGACCTATATCTCCTGCTCTTTTAAGTGCTTTAAATATTCATTTAAATTTTATCTATTCAGTGGTACTGGAATTGAATCCACAGTCTCATACATGCTAAGAAAGCCCTCTAGCATGAAGCCACATGCCCACTACCCACCCCCTTCTACTTATTTGAAGATAGTTTTTCTAAGTTGCCCAGGTAGCCCTGAGCTTGCCTTCCTCTAGCCTCACCCTCCTGAGTGGCTGGGATTACAAATGTGTTTCTTAAAGATTGAGCAGAAATTGTTTAAAACCACCTGGGCCCAATTTTAGTAGATAAATTTTTTAAACTATTAATTTATTTAATGCTTATAATATATTCCAATCAGATTCTCTATTTCTTCTTGAGTTAGTTTTGATGATATACATTTTCCTTGGAAGTGTTCCTCTAAATCTAAGTTTGCCTCTCATCTAAGTTCAAATGCATGGGACACACACAGTGTTCTCTGTTACTTTATCTAAAAGGATGAATTTACTCCTTAGTTAGTTGCACTCCTTCATTTATGACCTCTGAGGTCAGAGGCAGAAGGATATAGACAATGACATGCTAATCATAAAAGTTTCCATTTATTATCCACCTACTGAATACCTCATATGTATTTCTCCAACAACCTTGTGACAGAGGTTATCAGTGTCCTCATTTTACAGAGGAGGAAACTGAGGCCCACAGAGGTAAAGAAACCTATCCAGGGACAAGAAAAAGCAAACAACCTATCTAGGATTCAGGCGCAAGTCTAAATGATTCTAAAAAGCAGCTGTGCCTTCTGTTTTCATCTCCTCTGCCTGAGGTACAGGCATAAGTAGAAATGGACACTTCCTGCCTACAGTGACCTGACCTCAGATTCATGATGTCCATTTACAGAGGAAGAGAGGGGATGTGCAGAGACACCTACATCACCACTGTCAGTGTTTTCAGTCTCCTTTAAAAACTTTTCTATTTAAAAAATAAAGGCACAGAAAAATACTTGAAGGGCTGGGGATATAGCTCAGTGGCACAAGCTCTTGCCTAGCAAATGCAAGGTTCTGAGTTCAAGTCCCAGTACCAAAAAAAAAAAAAAAAAAACTTGAAACACACACACTAAAGTATTATTGTAAGCATCAATCATGAGTAGAGCATATATGGGTAAAATTTTATTTCCTTATTCCTACTTTTCTGAATTTTCCAATGGGTACTTTAATAATCAGAGAAAAATGCAACAAACCATTATTTCCTTTTTTTTTTTTTTTTTTTTTCTGAAATGAGGATCTCACTCTGTTATCCAGTCTGGCCCTGAACTCTCGGGCTCAAGTGACTCTCCCTTCTCAGCATCTCTAATAGCTGGGACTACAGGTGCACAGCACCATGCCTGGCCTCCTAAACATTTTCTAAGAGTAAACTAAAAACTCTTCAAAGGCAGCGGCCTGTCCTCTTTCTCATGGTCTCTCTAGCCCTCAAATGGGGCCAGGTAAATAGCAGTTAATAAATGATCATTAAAAAGACCAGCAGGAAACATCAAACTATGAATTATCTTGTCATAGAACATGGAAATATGAGTTACTTTCTTCTTATTTTTCCCTTCTTCTTTACTTCCAACATTTCTACATCATACCACTTCTATCACTGGGGTAAAATTTGGTTTATTTTGGGCAAAAAGACTACAAAGTGATTCCCAATATGAATTTTGTCTGCTTCATGTAGCTCTTTTTAGACTGTGTCTCAGAAGCATGCCTAAGGACAAGAGGGTTTGGTTTTGGGGGAGTCAGGGGAGAGGACCCAGGGGTGGTGTTGCATCTGGGCCACAGGACTTGCCTGCCTGAACATTTCCGGGAAGTCGTACACATAGGTGGTGCCCAGGGACTGTGCCTGAAATCGCTTAGCCTGAAGCAGATCCTTGGTGACATAGGGTGTGTTGATCAGCATCCCGTGCAGGCTTCCTTGCTTGTCACCAAAGGAGTGAAACATGATCTGGAGCAGAAAGAAAGAAAAATAGAGAGGGAGAAAGATCCCAGAGAGCCACACCTCTTCCCAGTGAAAACACATTGGCTTGGTGCATCATCCCATGACAGACAAATTGCCTAGGACCCTGGATGTTCTCCTCTCCACACTACAGGCAATCAGAACAAGCAGGGCGGTGGGAAGTGTGGAGACAGAATTCCAAAAGAATCATGATCACAGTAACACAGGGGCACAGCCCCAAAGTGTGTACAGAAACACCAAATGTGAATAAGGTCTATATCTGAGTTAACACCAATGTCAGCTTCTTGTTTGGGTACTACAGCAAACTGCATCACTGGAAAAAATTGGGTGAAGTGTACATTAGAACTCTGCCCTATTTTTGTTAGGTACTATTTTTAAAAATTTAATCATCTTGAGTCTAATTGTTTCAAATAAAAATGTGTTGTATAAATATGCATGTGTATACATACATATACACACATGTATTTATTTACACATTCATGTAAAAGTAATGGCAATAAAAAGAAAGCTCGATTCACTTTACAAATGGGGCTGAATCAGTCTGAGGATTATATCATAATCCCCCACAGTGCTTCACGTCTCAATTCAAATGTGGCTGCGGGATGAATTAAACCCTGGAGGATGAACAGCCAGAACTCCGAGGCTAGAAGTTCATCACAACCTGGAGCTATTTATTCAGCGAGCTCTCAGAGCTGCCACAATCCACCCGGGCAAGGCAAATTGGTCCCTGCAGGCTGATTTAATCTACGTCTTGCTGCCCTGCTCTGACTTAGACCTCTGGGGCCCAGCTCTGCCTTACGTTTCCAGATCTGGGGTCAGTCACTTCTTTGTAGAGGCTGATATCCAGGTAGTAGCCCGACTCGTTCGTGATAAACAGGCGGATGGGTGCAGCTCTGTCGGTGGTGGTTGGCCGTATATTGATCTTCACCTCTGCCTGCAGCACGCGGAGCTTCCACAACCGGCTTCCATAGCGCATCACCATGGAGCGCACAGACTCCTCGATCTGTTCCCAAACACAGCAGTTCCAGTTTCAGAGCCCACTACACACACACACACACACACACACACACACACGGCAATAGCGCTGATAACAGCGGGGTGGTGAGCTATAGTCAGTGCAAAATGGCTGGCATCTTGCATCCAACACGGAGTATCAGCTAATGATGAGCAAAAGCATCTGAAAAGTATTTAAAACCCATTATCTCATTTCATCCTCTTAATTACGGAGCAAGGAGGGCTTTTCTTTCTTTGTAGATTGAACCCCAGGTCTTATACGTGCTAGGACATCCTCTGCCTGCGGCAGGTGTTTCTTTTTTAATCTCCAATGGACAGATAAGAAGACTGAGGCTGACCAGTGGCACAGTCAGTGCTCCCTCATCATCCCATCTTGCTGTCCCTCCCAAGCCTGGTCGTGACTCTGCCCTGGAACTACGTGGAGCAGTGAAGCCAGCTGGGCCCTCTGTACCCCGTGGAGCCAAACTGGCGCCCTCTGGCTACTCTCACCCCAGTCACCACCACAGACACCTTTCTGCTCCTGCAGAAGTGGCCAACAGAGAGCTCAGTCACATCTGAGGTTCTCCTCCCCTCCCTGACTCACACGCAGTTCCCAGCCGCACCGGGAGCCAGGGAGAAGACAAAGCCCTGCTTTGCAAGACATTCTGGGCAGGCGTGTTGCCCTTCGAGTGGCAAGCCCACACTGGTGCGGCTAAAACAGAGCTGCAGAGCTGCATGGTGGAAGGTTCCTTGCCTTCCTGCAGCAATCAAGCCTCCACTGCACATGATTCATCATGGAACTCAGGTCTGAGGGGCCAGGAGACAATACTCTAAGGCACTATGGTGTGAAGCTGCAGGAGGGTGAACCCAGAACCCGGTGGGAGCCCCCGTCGGCGTGACCTTGGAGGGGTCCATGATGACGGTGGGCACGAAGTTGAGGAAGATGTGGTTGCAATCTGTGCGCACGTGTGTGTTGTTGAATGCCACCTCCAGCGCATCCATGGCCTCCAGGAGCAGCCGCTCACCCTCATTCTGCAGGTACTCGAAGGAGGCTTCCTGTCAAAGGGCAAGGAGGCAGTGTTTCGGGCCAGGGTCTACCCTGGCTGGGTGGAAACAGCCTCAGACAGGAAAGCCCTCCCCTCCTCTACGTGTGCCCTCCGACAACAGCAGAGCCCTGCTCAAGGGCTGTCGGGAGACCTGGGCTGCAGGGTGCACTCACTAGGTCTTTTATTTTCTGTTTCCTGACGTTTATGACATCTGGGCTGTGCCTGCCCCTAGGGGGACTGGCCATCCCAGGGCTACCTGTTCCTAGACATGGTGAACAACTCTCCCAGGGGCATGCTTGTCACCCACAACCAACCCGGTACCTTCACTCCGTTCCCTCCTTCACCCCCGCCCACCCCAGGCCACTGTCCCATCCTCATCACCCTAGGGTCAGGTTCCAGACAATCGAGCGCAGCTGTATGCTCAGAGATACGGCAACTACTTAAACTAGCCAGGCCCAGCCCTGCTCATCCTGCCTTGCCCATCCCTCCCTTTGGGGGTTGTGGTAAGAGTTCCTGCTCACCTTTTCTCTCCACTCGTCTGCTTCCTGACCAACCCCAGTGCTCACTGTGCACCCCCATGGTGTGCGGAGACCTTTCTCGGAACTCTTAACAAACTAGCTTTCCAGTGGCAACTGCCTCCTGATCTTCGCCCTCACCACAGCTCAGTAATACTAAAAGCATCTCACTGCCTGAAGCAAAAATCTGAGATCAGCTTAATACCCATCAATGGGGGATTAGTAAAAAACAAAATGCTCTAGGATATTTTACCTTTGTGATCAGGTCTGAGTGCCTGATGATGGCACGGATGAAGAATCTGTGGTCCGTCACTTCCACCCCTTCGTTCACCTTGGCGGCGCCCAGGTAGAGGTGCATCTTGTGGTTGGCACAGGGCACAGCAGTCAGGTCAAAGTTGCGCATCCGGCTGAGCTCCAGCTGGAAGGCCAGGGCGGGCTCCAAGTGACGGTAAATGCGATCCTCTGCAAACTGCAGGCCCGCCAGAGGGAGGACAGACAGACACACAGAGATACACTCGTGGAGTTTGGTTCTGCGCCCACATGCTACATCACGCACGGTACCCGCAGCAACCATGGCGTTCGGGAATATGGCACCTAACTGCGAGCAATGCCCAGGCTCAAGAGATTTGGGGTTTTGCTAGGCTATCTGGACAGCCACAGGCATCACTAGAATGGCATCCCGGGGACAGGTCTTAGCTCCTGGGTCAGCCCAGCAGCAACCAGCACCTGCCAGTGACATGAGGCTATTCTCCACGTCACAGCATAGTCTTCCCAAATGTCCTAACCCCTGGTTTTCAGTTAAATGTCGTTCCAAAAAGGAAGCAACTAAAGTTGTTGGAGCTGAACAAGACAAAACCAACGTGTTATAAAAGCATTGGTCTTGGCTGGAAAATTCAGGCTTTGGGTAAATTAAAATATAAATTCTGAACTGAATGGGGTCTTGAATTTGTTATGGGAATGAGCCCACTTGTTCTACAACAAGGATCAGCAAATATTCTCCTAAAGGGCCAGACACGGGTTGTTTTTGGCTGAGGGACCAAACAGCCTCGATCCAATGGCCTTGATTAATTCTGCCACTGCAGTGTGAAAGCCACAGCAGACAACACGTAATCAAATGAGTGTGGCCGTGTTCCAATAAAACTTTATTTCTAAATGGGCATCTGGTCTACAAGTTATAGTTTGCTAACCTCTGGTCTAAAAGAATATAAGAAAGGGGGACTGGTAAAACTGCCTTACTGAGTACACCAGCAAATATGAACATTATCCAAGTGAGATCATTTTATCCGAGTGAGATGAGCCTGCAGTGAAGGCAGAAAGGACAGGATCCTCAGGGTCTGTGCCGGAAACATAGGATGTCATAGGATATGATTCTAGGGAACAGTTGGAGTCTACATATCAGTCCCCGTGTTCTAGAAAAGGAGCATGCCTTAAGAACTGGGGACATATTCCTCATGAATACCAAAATGCCAGGGGAGGGAGAACAGTATCGTTCCTTCCGGTCATACCTCATCTCTTGCTCTGAATGTGAAAAACTTGGGAAATTCTTTCTGTAAAAAGAAATCCATATAAAAGTTGGTTAAATCAGGCAAGCGTCATTGAAACATTTCTTATTTTGTGATTGTTAATGATAACTTAGTCTTCTAGAATGAATCATTTCAAAGTGTTCTCTTTTCTTGCAACTGATCCCTTCTATCCCAATCTATAAAGTAAGTGTCAAAGAAATGCCCCAGGGGATTGGAGAATGGGAGAGACTCACACAGATGAACTGAGAACCGGACTGACCTCTTGGGCGATCAGGAATGTGATTCTTCGGAGTCCATAATCCACGAGGATATTTTTCTGCATTAAAAATCAAAGACACAATGGAATATTATCTATAAAATGAAGGGCGGACTGATACATGTTCCCACATGACCGAACCCTGAAAACATGCTACGTGGAAGAAGTCAGCCACAAAAGACCTTGCAAGGTATGACATCATGTGTGTGAAACACCCAGAATGAGCAAATCTAGAGCAAGAGAAAAGATACTGATGGTTGCCTAATGCTGAAGTAGAGTGGAAGAGGGCTTTGCTTTGTGGAATGATGGCAAAAAATTGTGAATCTGGTGGAGATATTTTTGGCAGGAGGATGGTGATGAAAATGTTCTACAACTGACTGGAGTGATGGCTGTGAAACCCTGGAGACATACTGAAAAGCACTGAACTGTACACTTTAGTTGAGTGAGTTGTGCAGTATATGACTTATACCTCAACAAAGCTATTATAAGAAGAGACGAGCTTGGGAGTCTGGGTAGAAGGATAGCAAGTTCAAGCCCAGTGTGAGCGACTTAAGAGACTTAGTGAGACTCTGTCTCAAAATTTAAGATAATCATCATCATCATCATTATAAAAGAGCAAACATGCCCTCCAGTGTGAAGGTGCTGAGTTTAATCTCCACCGTCCTCCCCAGAAGACAAGCAAAACACCATGTACACTGTAAGAGTTTGTATTCATCAATCATATCTCAAAAAAGCTGTGGCGGGGGACAATTTGAGCAAAATGCTCCACAGTAAAGAACGCAAACTCTGACTCCATTTTTGTATAAAACTGAAAACCAGATACGGCCAGGTGTCTCTGGGGTGGTGAAGGAGGGGTACAAGCAGCTTTGGCAGGGGTAAGAGTATCCATTTCTGATCTGAACCCTGATTACACCTGCCTGCTCACTGTGAAAACCCATCAAGCTCTATATATGCATCATTCAGACACTTCCTTTCAGACTTCAATAAAAATTATGCAAAACAAAAGAAGAATAAAACTGAGCTGGGGAAGTTGCTCAGGGTTACAGCAGCTACCTGTCATGCACAAGGCCTTGGGTGCCATCCCCAGTACTGAAAAAAAAAGCATCGAACTGTTCTCAGTTGCTCCCTAAATGAAATAAATACTACAATGGTATTATATGAGGTTTTACTCGGAAACACAAGAAAACAGGTTATTGATTAGTCAATAGGATGAGGAAAAATTATTAGGGGAAATGAAGTGTTGGCCTGTTTCAAAGACACACACACACACACACACACACACACACACACACACACACGAACACTGTAGTGGGATGCAGATTGGAAAACTCCAGAATGAATATTCTAATGTGGAAATTAGTCCGATTATTGGTCCTCAACTGAGCATGTTGTGTGTGCATATGAGTGACTGTGCATGTGAATGTGTGCATATGAGCTGCATGTGTGTGCAAATGTGCACACTCATATATGCTTGATGTAAAAATTCCCAAATAATATAGAAATACAGAACATAAAAGTTTTTCCTTCCCTTCCTCCTCTCCTGTATATGTTATATGTATACATAAAGTATATAGTCACACACATATATATTTAATCTCTTACATCTAACAACTATCCCTCCAGGCCAGTGTTTAGAAACTGTTTCATTCCTTTTCACAGCCACATAGTACCCCATGACATAGGTGTCCACACTGCAGAATCGCTCACAGGTCATATTTTCAGCAGGTGATCTGATACCTTTCTCCACTGCCGTCTCTGGTTAAGAACCCCCAACTATTGTGTGCTCCATTTGACATGGTCAGGAGGCAGATGAACCCACATGCAGCTCAAATGTCCCTCTACCTAGGCAGTGAGATGACAACTAAAACCCCAGTGATGATGTTGGCTAGGATAAGAAGACACAGGCTGCATGGCATTGTGCCAATATTTTCAGGCTGCCTCCGAGGACAGGGTTATGGCTTTGCTTTAAAACCTAATTTTCAGATTCGTACCTTATCACTTTCTTCAGTGAACATCGTTAAGTAATGATTAATATCGTTAACATGCAATGCTAATTCTGCCATGTACATGATTAATAAAGTAAAAGGCTAAACATAGCCATTAAAATGACATGGGTATAGCCCAGTGGTAAGGCATCACTGGGTTTGATCCTCAGGACTGAAAAAAAGTTCTCCCTTTACCCCCTAGGTCTCTACTATACATATGGTCAAACATGCACAGCCTTAACCCAGCTCAGCATCATTCATTCTCCCAGCAATACCCGCCCTCCAATCACCATGCTGGGCCTTCTGAAGGGCATCGAGTCAGACAGAGGTAAGAGCATCCCTCTTACCAAGATAATACGGAGAATAAGGCACATATACCAATATGCAGGCTAAAAAACTGCAATTGAAAATTCTCCCCTGATCTTGAAGTTGAGACAAAATCAGCAGAGTCAAGGTTAAACAGACAGCACACCTGGCAGATTTGCTTTCTTTATGAGCTAAGAACCTCAGCATCCCACTTTACAGCTGGAGAAACTAAGGGTCAGAGAGGGAAAGTAGCCTGCCCTTGTCCCACAGGGGATGCAGTCACACCCGTGCAGTCAGTGCCCTTAGAGTGTTTCAGCTCCTCACGCTGCACCACCTCATCTGCAGCTGTGGCCCCCGAGCGTATGTGATAGCTGTCCCCGCTGCAGCAGGACAGCCCGTGAGGATGGCCACCACATGCTTGCAAAAGCAACCTGCAGTTATTTGCACACTCGGTGGTCAACATAAGTGGCGATCTCAAGACTGCAAGCTTCTGCGATGTTCCAACAAAAAGCTCCCCCTCTAGAGCCCCAAACTACTTATTAAGTATATCCTCTGTGCCCAAGACAGGCTAAGTGTGGATATACTTGATTGCTTAATTACCACAATGTCCCCAGGGGGAAATGCTGTCCCTGTGTTACCAGTGAAGAAGCCAAGGCTCTGCCAGGTTTAGCCACCTCTGCCCTAGGATATGGGCAGAACTAGTTGGGGATGCCAGGTCTGTGCTCTGGAGCGCTCAGCAGGACAGGCACCCCAGCAATGCTAAGGAGCATGACGAACGCACCAAGATCAGCCCCTCTGCCTTCTCCAGAGACCTCTCCTCTACCCGTGCTATGGTTAGAACCTGGTTTATTCCACCAAAACTCACAATGAAGTGGAATGCCCCAGTGTGACAGTACCGAGGCAGTGGGGCATTTAAGGGAGAGAATCAGATTGTGAGGCACTGCCCTCCAAAGGCCCTGACATAGTTCTCGCAGGACGAGGTTTGTTCCCATGAAAGTGAGTTGTACAGAAGAGTGAGCCTGGGCCCTCCCATCTGTCTGGCTTCCTCTCCCACGGTGTGACCTCTCCCACACACTCCCACTATGTGACGCCACCTGCTGTACTGTGACACAGCAGAGCCTCTTACCAGACGTGGTTGCCCAGTGTAGCCTCCGGAACTGTGAGCTAAGGAAAGCTCTTCACTTTATAAAAGCACCCAGCCTCAGGTATTTTGTTACAGCCACACAAAGCAGAATAAGACCATTGACTCTCCCCATGTACCTTGGATTGTACAAACGTCCGGAAAATTGGCACCAGCTCCTCGTCCTCCAGGTGGTCTGCACACTGGATGGCCACATTCAGGATGTGGATGGGCTCCTCTCGGAGGCTCTGTGAGAGAACCATGAAGGCTGCAGGGAGAAGGGCTGGGTCCCCTCCTCTGGGTTGCTCCTGGGCTCAGACGCTTACCTTGTCATCATCAGAGTACAGGGTGGTACGAGCCTTGCTGAAGACTGGGGTGTCTTTGGGCACATTGGCAAAACAGGAGATGACTTCATCAAAGTTCCTGGGGGTGTGGACACGGAAGCAGGCTAAGGGACCACTGTCTCATGGGGATATCAGTCAAGCTTTCAAGGCAGGCATATGGGAGCTCCAGGCACGCCTTCCTTCCTAGCCAAGACTGCGATTTCATCCGACTCCGTGCAGCACTCTTGTGGCTCCTCGACCTGGTCCACAGCACCTCAATGAGCTTGCTCCCAGAGGTGAAGAATCAACCCATAGGGCCTGAGGTCAGGGGTCCGAGAGAGGATGCCAACACTCTAGGCCATCAGCTGGGTGGCAAGTCAACTCCTGGCTCCCGCTTTTACTGGCTCGGAGACCCAAAAGACCTCCCCTCATAGGAGTCCTGTGACTGATCCCTATACCTCACCAGGCTGTGTGAAAACTCAACAGCAAAATTCAAGCACGATGCGTCCCACACAGTAACAAGCAGAAAAAGAGGCGTAGTACTAGTGCCTCACATTTACTGAGCATATCATTTACATAGGAATTCTACCTTTAAACATATTATTCCACACATCTGCTCTCATTTACTTTTCATGACTCTTCTACAAAGTAGGTCCTTCTGTTAAGCCCTTTTCAGAGATGAGAAGAATTAAGAGAGATTAAATAATCTGCTTAATCTCATAGTTAGGGAGTGGAGAGCCAGGCTTCAGACATGGGTAAGCTGACGCATGGCCTCACATGCTTGGCTATAACGCTATCATGATTCTGTTACTTCTTTCAGTTTATTCTGAACCGATACAGAAAAAGATAGCAATTATACATAGTAAGAGGGTATCATGTAGTGTTTCACTATGTGGGCATAGTGTACAATGTTTAAATCAAGTTAAACACATCTATCTCTTCATTTATCATTTCTTTACGGCCAAACTCAAAATCCTTTCTTCCACCTTTTCGAAGTATACAGTACCTTAGTGGTACTGTGTAACTCAGTACCCACTGACCACTCGGTTCCCCTTCACTCTCTCATGATTCTGTTTTTAAAAATTAACGAATGAATTTATTTATTTTGCAGTACCAGGGACGGAACCCAGGGAGCACTGTGTTCCCCAACCCCTTCTTTTAAATTTTTGACTCAGGGTCTCCCTAGGTTGTCCAGCCTGGGCTAGAACTAAGCCCCTGTTTGTGGTGTTTGAGAGGCCTGGCCACACGGTACCTGGTGAAATCCTCAAATCTCCTGAAGGCGACCATGGCCCCCATCCGCTGGCACAGGGGGGCAAAGCCGCTGTCCATGAAGAGCTCCGTGCTGTGCCTCAGTAGGTCAGGGTTGGTGACACTGATGGGCACTGTCATCCTGCAGAGTGACAGCAAGGGGAAGATGAGGCAGCTGCCTGAAGCCTCAGCTCTAGGAGCCGCTGCTTCAGGGAGCAGCTGGACATTTCAGGGAGCCGGTCTTCCAGTATGAGGCTAAAACTGGGGACTGGTGGGGGAGATTGAGGTTGGGGTCAGGGGTCAGGAATCTCATCTGATTCCTCAGGGCCTGGTTACAGTAGGAGCCCAATAAGTGAACGAAGGAATGAACGAAGGAATGAACGAATGAATGAATGAATGGTGTGTACACTCAAATCCAGGTCCAGCCCATCCCCCAGGAAACTCCAAGGTAGCAAACAAAGCCACACAGTGGAACGAACACTCCCTGCATTGGATTTTCCTGCAGAGCCCCAGCTCTGGGCAGCTGGAGAGGGGGCAGGCTCGGCTCTGTGGATACTCCAGGCCTCTGGCTCACCCTGCACCAAACCCGTCTGGGCATAAAATCAGCTGCCTATTCAAATTGAGATGCCCACTGCTCCCAGGCCTGGAAGCTCACCTGCAGCAACTCCAAACGGGTCACCTGAGGATTTTGGAACCCGGCCCCGGAATCAGATGGAGGAGGGGTGGCCTGATGGCATGCAGAAAAGCATCAACACAGAGGCCTGAGCTTCTCTTTGTAGGAAGGAGACCTGCCTGCAAGGCTGGGCCTTGGCTGGCATCCAGGAACCTAAATTTGGGGAAAGGTCCCACTCGTCCCTAAATGCTAAGGGTGGTTCTCTATGCCTAAGCTGTCTGCGCAAACAGCATGATTTATGATGAACACTTACTTTCCCTGGGGGCCTGGCATCTTGGGGCCAGGCAGAGATGCCTACATGAGCAGCTGCCAATAAAAACCTAGGTGCTGGTCCCTAACAAGCCAGCAGCCAACACTGACATGTGCTGTCACACACATTGCTGGGGGGATTCATGCGTCCAGTGTCAGTCCCCTGGGAGGTAACTCAGAGCTTGTGCCTGCTCTCCCCTTGACTTCACCTATGGGCCCTTTGCCTTTGCTAATTCTGCTTTGGATTCTTGGTCTGTAATATGCCAGAGCCATCCACATCACTATACACTGAATACAGAGAGTCCTCTCAGCAACTCATCAAACCTGGGCACTCCTGGGGACCCACAACACAGGTGCACGTGTTTCTGTTCAGTAGCTCTGGAATCACAACCCAGGTCCCCTTCTCCATACTACTAAGTGCAGAGGCTACAGAGCCACATTCATTGCCGCTGAATTCAGACTGACTTTGCTTCATACAGCACTCTTAACATAGGAGTTAGCTACTCACATTGAAAAGTTAAAGCCAGGCGTGGTGGCGCACGCCTGTAATCCTAGCACTCAGGAGGCTGAGGCAGGAGGATCGTTGCAAGTTCGAGA